GTATACAGTGACATTTTACTAAATGTTTCTAATTTTACCAAAAACTAGAAGCATAACATAGTATTTTGTGAAATCAAACTTATATCGAATATTCATACATATTATTGGAATTTAAAATTATTTTAACTAAATGTCTATAATTATTAGGCACACGTTTACAATAGTAGAGAAGTTTGAATTTTAGTTTGATTAATTTTATGGATAAATCTAGTTAACAATTTTTTAATAAAATCAAAGCATAATTTTAAAATTCAAAAATAACAATAGTCGATTAATTAATTAATATGTAGTTTCATAATTTTAGTAGTTGACGTTGTAGTGAAAAAAATCTTTAGCGATATTATTAACGGTTAGTCCTATAAGATTTCTGTATATATTCAAATAAAAGCTTGAATATCAATAAAATGCTAATCATATATTACATAATGAATTATAAAAACATTAATTTGGAGGTAAATTTACATATGGTTTTTCCTTAATTATAATAATAAAGTAAACTTTTCTGCATATTAAATTGTTAGTATATACGATAGAGCAAAAAAAGGATATGATATGACTTTATAAAAAATATTTCATTTAGTATATCACAATATATCATTTAGTATTTTATGTCGTCCTATATATTTATATTAAAACATGATTTAGAGATATGTTATATGTAAAATCTATAAGTTTTTCAATAAATTAATAGTATTCAATTTCATAGTAATAAATTACTATAAAAAAGAATGATATAACTAATTTTTTCCATACAATATTTGGGGCGTTGCCTTTGCAATAACTTTCATACTGAAAGAAATACTCACTCTTGAAGTAGAATCAATTATTTTACTTAAATATTAATTTAGCATTCAATAAATGCATTTGCGATTGTTAAAAGTATAAAAGGTTTTTTTTAATGGATCATTCGGCAAATGTTAGTATTGCCAGTATTGTAAATATTATATGATTTGTGTGAATATATAATAATTTTACTTATTAAAAATTTCTGAGGTTATATTCTTTTGTAGAGAAATTATTTACTAATTAGTCGGATGCTGTTTAAATAAATAATTATAACATTTCAAAAAACGTGATGAAATAATTTTTGTAGTTTCATGTTGATGTCAATAACAATAGAAGAATGATGTTCGATCTGATAATAAGGCGAATAATGCAAATAATTTGATGCTGGATTAAAGACACAAAGACGAAACGAATAAAATATTTGCGATACTATTTATAAATACAGTTAACAAGTGGAGTAAAAAATCTGAAAGCTCTTTCAAGTTTATAAAGAAACTACACTAATTATTGAAAATTAAGTAATTCCAAATTAAATTTAAGTACCAATTCAAAAATACATACTTCAAGAGTTAATTAGTTTGTTAAATGTTAGTATAAATTATAAGTCAATGGCTACGAATTTATCTTAAACTATCTTAATCTTAATATAAATATATATATATATATATATATATATATATATATATATATATATATAATAATAATAATAATAATAAAAGTTTTTATTTTTAATTTATATATTTATATTTTAAATTAAAAGTTCGATTTAAAAAATTTGTAACGATTTTTACCAAGCAAACATACATAAAATTTTTCGATGATTCATGTTATTTTAAAATTTATCGATTATCCGAATGAATGTCTAAAGCGTGATTTCAAATGATCACTTTTATCTAATCAACGCTTTTTATTCTTACTTTTCTACATTGTTAAAATATTCAATAATAGGTAATGAAAAATATTTAAGATACAGTAGCATATGATAATAAATAAATAGTACATTAATAATAAATTAAAATTTAACCAAATCAATTGCATTGATTATGCAATAGCATTGTAAGTTTAATAATCCAAAACAATTGAGCAATAATTTTATAAGATTTAAATGGTAATTTAATTAAATGTTAACGTTAATTTCATTTTGAACGAAGTAATTAATTAATTTATTGCACACAGTCGCTCGAAGATAAAATAAACTTTTCGAGCATTAATAAGCGTAATTATTTGTTTATATTTCAATAACTATAAAAACAAATACTCATAGATTATATGTATTTCTTCTATGTTAAAATTTATCTTCAAATAAATTGTATAAGAATAAAAAGATGTTTAAATAGAGCGAAGCCGGTATTTGTATTTGTATTGCATGTAAGGTATTTAATGAGAGAGTGAGATGATAGAGAGATAAATTTTTGTCAGCATTATGAAATCGAAATAAGTGTAAAATAATAATTAATCAATGGAATTAATTAATTAATTAATTAATTGATTAATTAATCAATTAATCAATCAAATATTAAGTATATGGAAATTTTTAATTGAAAACATAGAAAATCGATATTTTATTGAAAATACCGTAGTAAAAAAATTATCTAAAAAAGTGCATCGATTATTAATTAAAAGAAGAAAGCATGAAATTTAATTGCAATATAATAATGTTAAATTAATATATTTAAATATTTTAATTATTTATACAATGTTCATTACTAATTTGTTTCTATTTTTATACCTTATTTATATGAGCAATTAGGATTTCCTCATTTTTAGCAGTTTTATGTTAAATTGTTAAATTATGTTAAATTAGAGTCAACTAAGATTCATATTATATTTGATAAGTTACTGTGCAAAAAAAAACTTTGATATTTTTTGCAAATATTTAAAATGTTAATTTATGTTTATTCATCCAATTCTAGAGAAGTGTCGTCACAGCTGCATCCACCAATATATTTAAATAGATTTTCCATTGCATATTCATATTCGTGTGAAAGCACAGACAAGCACAGACACAAAATTCTTTTCATTCTGATATTGCATGTAATATTTTCTTTTATTTTCAATATTCACATGATCTTGTTATTAGGGATAGACATTAGTATTTATTGTTATTATATAAAGTTACTTAAATATATACTCGTTGCAGATGAATCAAACTATCCAAGATGCGAATGAACAGAACTTTAATTATTTTTTTTCTTCTCTTTTTTTCTTCTATATTTCAAGGATGTTTGTAACAATAATAGCTATATTCCTACAATATGCTAATTGTTATTTGTGTCCTTTGGTGAGTCGAGTAACAACGGATTTTCTTCGTTATTCAAAAAAAAAAAAAAAAAAAAAAGGAAATTGGTACTCCTCTGTCTAAATAAGTTTTATATGATGGCTAAATGTTTATATTTGAAATTAGAAATCTTCGGAAATATAAGTTTCTTACATTAATATCTTTGACATTCATTAATTCGCATGAATTTCTGCTTTTAATTGAAAAGTTATACTTAAGAATCAGTGTGAATGATTTGCTGTTAGAGTAGCAAGAAACATTTTCATTGAGAGAATAACGGACATGTTGAATAATTTTTTAATAATTTGATTTCATTTTCTTATTAAAGAAAAATATGATGAAATAAGTTATTAAAGTTTATTTTAATTTTTCTTAAAAGTATCTTAAGATTATTTAGAATTAAAATTAGATTAATAACACTAAAAGTCTAAGTACTTATTATCTTGAGAATGCTTTAATAGCAAATTTTACAAATTACTCAACAAAGTATTTTTTTCCTCTTTTCTTTTTTTATACATAATTATTAAAGTAAATACTCGGTACGTTAAACTATCATCAATTCATTAAGATTTGTTCCAATATGTTGTATATATTGTTTTCAAAAATTAGATATCATTATTATTTATTTTATGTGACATATTTGTTATTTACATCTTTTAATAGAAATCATTACATTCGTCCTTAATGCTTATTGGGCATTTTTGGTCGTCAAATGAAATGTCTTTGGATTTTACAATAACTAATAGAGACAATTTTTTTTTTTTTTTCAATTAAGAGCAATCATGTGCTTTTTTTTATTAATATTTTGAATTAAATACCAATTATTATAGTATTTGGGAAAAATTTGATTGAAAACAAAAATTGGAATATAACGTGATTATAAGTTAGCATAAAGCAATGTAATGTTAAATGTAGATAAATTATAACGTGTAGTTAAATTAATTACTTACTCATTATCTATAAAGTATTGTGAAACAAGCATTTTATTAGAAATAAGTTAATAGTTGAAGGAAAAAGATGACGAAAAATATATTCAATACATTCCACAGTTACATAGAATTTATTTGGTTGAGATAATTAAGAGATTTTAATTCATAAGTAATTAAAAAGTATGGAAAAATCTTTAGAATATTAATTGGTATGCTCAAGAAATTATATCTTTCGCACTTTATAAAGTTATTTTGGGCTCATTTGATTCGTACATTCAATACACATACAACAAACTAGAAAATGAGAAAGTACTTTTTTTCAAGGATCCATACCTTAGGAATATATTTTCTAAGAAAGCTTAAGTATAAATGGCTATTTGATTAACGTCAATATGTGTCAAGCGGCCTCTTTTATTGCGATACCATTGCAAAAAGCATATACATGATTTTGAAATTCAGCAACAATATCCCATTGTTGAATTATCTTAATTAATTTTGGGAAATCGATTGGCTACGAGACAATTGTAAGGATGATCGTCAACGCCAAACATCAGCAAAGTAAGTTTGCTCGTTTCGAAGAGGTAACCTTTTCTCTCTCTCTCTCTCTCTTTCTCTCTCTTTCTCTCTCTCTCTCTCTCTCTCTCTCGCTCTCTCTCTCTCTCTCTCTCTCTCGCTCTCTCTCTCTCTCTCTCTCTCTCGCTCTCTCTCTCTCTCTCTCTCTCTCTCTCTCTCTTATCTCAGTGAAATCCTAGGGTCCCGCTAGACTTGCGTTATAAGGCCCGAACGATCCCAAACTCAACACCCGTTGAAAACTATCCCGAGAATCCGATTTTTGGACCGCAAAAGGTGATCGCCCGCGGGAGAAGCCCGCGCCACGTTTAAGGAGACGGGGGAGGGCAGTGGCCGTTACGTATAAAAAACAAGGGAAGAAAGGAGAGGGCGTCGCGGCGCGAGAAACCCCGGCGCAGTCAAGGCGAGACGGCGTCCACGATTTGCCGAGTCCAGTTAGTTAGTCGCAGTCCGCAGCTAGAAACGGACGGAGACGGACGCGCGCGCGCGCGACTCACCTATCATCTCCGTGGCAGGAGAGCTGCCAAACTTCTGGCCGCAGGTTCGTCTGGCGTCGGTGCGGAGGACACGTGGAGCCCTGGTGAGTACGAGTGGGAGCCGCGGGGATTCCGGTATGGGAGCGGGCGGCTCTCTTTCATTTTCGACTCCTCGGCCGACGTTTTGACACCGACGACTGCCTTCCTGGCTGATGCATTGCGAATTCGTCGAGTACGTAAACCTCGTTGCTTCGGGTCAATTCGAGATCGGAACGATGCTGTGGCTTGAAAATGTCGACGGTGTTTCATTCGGGGGTTGAGATGACAGAGGAGTGATATTTGTAAGTTGAGTATTGCTCGTGAAATCGAGTGAGTGTGGCGGATCGTGCAGTTTGCATGCCGATAATTGAGTTGTGTCACTTTGTGGCGGGAGCGCAAAAACAAAACGAGAGAAGTATTGACAGAGAGAGAGAGAGAGAGAGAGAGAGAGAGAGGGTATTTGACAGACAGCTATTCTGACTATATTGTCTATATTTATTGACAGTAGCTCCTGCTACTTGTAGCATCCAGATACGTCTTACGCGTAATAACCAAAATGCATTTTTAGGTTTTGTGGTTTTTTATCATTGTCGCCTTATTAAAGTATTCGACGAAAGTTGTATCTCTATGAGTCCATTGAAAGCTTTTTTTTTTCTTCTTTTTTTTATTATTATTATTAAGATGCCTTGAAATAATTTTTTGTTTATATGTATATATGGCACTTTATCGAATGTTTAATTAATATTTTGTGTATTGGAAATTTATCTTGAATATGTTGGCGAAGCTACTCATTAATTTCAATGTTTTAATCCAAATGAGAAATTTTTAAATCCAGTTTTACCAGCGAACAAACATCTAATTCCTACGTTAAATTTATTTGATAAATTACTTTCCCGCCTCAGTCGAAGAGCAATTAATAGTATAATTTTTCTATTCCTCTCTATTATCTCGTGAATTAATATCGATACTGGGAATTGATTATACTTATTTAAATTGAATTATTTTCTTCCCTATTCTATATACGTAAATATGATGAGTAGCTACTCATTGTTTTAAATCTTTGCTATTCTTACATTTTTTATCTCAATAATTAAGGGAGAATAATTATTGAAACGGCATTAAAATTAATAATTACTATAGGACTGTCTTCCTCAGTATTTACCTAGTTATAAGTATCAATGTTTTCCTTTCTCGAATATCAAACAGAAGAAAGAGAAGGATAGAGGAGAGAAAGCGAAAGAGAAAGGAAGAGAATGATGTATACGAGTGTGTGCTAGATTTTTTTTTCAAATTTATGCAAACAATGTAATGCAAACAACATGAACATCTGACATATTGATGTATTTGCAACAATAGATGACGCATATTTAAAATATGCTAGCATATTAAAAGTACGATGAAATAATAATTTCTTCGTATATATTAAATTAAATAAATTAAAAATTTGAAAATTTAACGAAAAGAAGACAAGAAATTACGTTGGGAATTGATTTAAAAAAAAAAAAAAAAAAATCATTTAATGACAGAGTTATATTTCAATATGTGAAAAAATTATTATATAATTAAACGTCACTTGTGAAAAAATTATTCTTTATATGTTTTGAAATCAAACAAAATTATAATAATTATAACATTGTTAAATAAATAATAAAATGCTACTGTTTTTTTTTTAATTTACAATGAAGCTACGAATAAATCGAATTTAATTACGAATAAAAAGTTGTAAAATTCCTTTAAATCACTTTGCTTGTGCATCTAAATTATAAATGACACTTTAAACTATGGAAAATATGTTACGAATGACAATATTTGCAAGAGAAAAATGTTCTTTTTTAAATTTATTCTGTCAAGGCTTTTCAGTATTAATTAGATAACAAAAATATTGATTTTAATTCATTTTCTAAAATTATCACTATGTTGATTGTTTTCAAATGATAATAATAACTATCACAATATATTATAAAATTAGAAGCGCGTTTGCGTTATAACAGAATGAAAATATATATATATATATATATATATATATATATACATACAACAATTCGGGTAATTAGTTGATTTTTATATAAAACGTATTTATAGTAGCGAAGAAGGGGAAACTGGAGAAGAAATTTATTTACCGTATTAGGTAGGTTTTTCCACTTTATTATAAATAAATCGATGTTATTTTGTATATTAAAATGAATGGATTGAAATTTTTTGCTTGGAAAATGCTTTACTGGTAATTCCGTAATAATAGTTTTTTTTTTTGTTTTTTTTTTTTTTTTGAGAATTAGAATATTTTTATTATATTCGGCAGCATAGTAACAAATAATATGAGTTTAAAATTTAAAAAGACGGAAATTAAATTTCATATGCGTAATGATAATGGTATTTGAAAAGATTAATGTTTCCGAGGCTTTATCGATTGTTAATTTTTTTTATTCGAAAAAGAAATAATGTATTAAGAAACTCAGGAATATGCATTCATTTCGACTATTTCATTGTACAAAATACGAATAGATATATTATTCAATACAGTTCGGCTGATGCAATTATAAACTATATACCTTTAATAATATTGTATAATTCTAGGATAAAATATCGTATTTATGGTCTTTTCAATTTTCATATACGTAAAAAGTACAAGATCTTAGGGGTGAAAGGGGTAGGGAGTAGGGGAGGGGGAGAAGCATAATTGTGGGATGGAAAATTGTTCGGTAATGTGTGTCGAAAGAAAATTCCAAGCTTTATACCTTAAATACCATTATTTATCAAAATTCGCTGGTCTTGTATTTAAATTATATAATGAATCGTGAAATTATTAATTACCACAAATTGAAAAACTTACAATTATTTTTACTCCGAATGTCCAGTTTTATCATTGGTTAAAATAATTGAGAGTTACCGTTAAATTTTCGTATATCAGGCATAGTATTCATCTCCGATAATAAAAAGAACATATCGTTTTATCAATCGATCAAGCGATAAAAGCGAAACAATGAAAATTCTTACCAAAACAGCACCGATCTCTCAAGATAAAGCGTTTGAAATAGTTTCAACATAATCAAAAAAATTTAAAAATTTCAAACATCAAATTCACAAGAAAACCTCGTAAATCGAAATATCCTTTTCCCTCATGTAAAGTGTCAATGTCATTGTAACGTACCAATCAAGAAAGTTTATCTGCCTCTACGTTATCGGCGCTTTATCTGTCCCCCGATCATTCTCACGTAGAACGAGATAATGACATTTGGAATAAGGTGAGAAGCTGAAAGGGCACGCTTCACCTAAAATATTCGTTTCCTCGGTTCGTTAACGATCGCTCCTCCGAGTCCGATATCACATTTCATTTTCATTCTCGGCATGCCGATCGTTCAAGACGATGTTTGCGCAAAGTGCAGCTTAGCAATGGATTTTGTAAATTCGTTGATATATACGTACATAGTATGATCTTTGTCACGAAGATTTATTGCGATACTTAAAATAATTTGCCATTAAAACTTAACATTACACTAATATTATGGGTGACATAATATATGTTGGTATATTACAGCTGAATATCTCCAGGAAAATATTGAAATTAACAATTAAGAATGTCACTTATAAATATATCCTTATCAAATTATGTTTTTCTCACCACAGTAAATCATAATCTGTATTTATAGATTATAGTTTATCTACTTCAAGGTTTTTCTCATTTGATGCAATTCAAAATTTACCATTTAGAGGTCAAGATTCCGTGACATATAATTTTATTGCGATTTTCTTTAATTTTACAATTTGTTATTATTAATGTTTATTTACGATTATGTTATAGTTCCAGTGGCAGCGTCTGCTGCCACTTATACGCTCAAACTTACTTGTCGCTACAATCATTGTCGATAAATCCGTTGTTTTGTTGCGGACATGACGAAATCAATTACATGCAGCGCCATGGATATTATTACCTTACAATTAAATATTACGAATGGAAATGTCGTAATAGTTTAAATTAGCCGAGCGTAGCCTGCTGATCATGAAATCGTTAGCCGAACTCGGTACGCCGACTTAAATATAAGCTAAGTCATAAGTTATATTGAGATGAGGTTGGAAAAAACGAGTATGTGTTTACATTCGATGAGCGATGAATTTTTTGCGCATAAATGGATGATGTCGTTAGCCGATACGTGCAAATATATGTAAATAAATCATCGGAACCTCAAAGCCGATAATTGCCGAATGCAAATAATCATCTTCGTTTCCATAAACGGGCTGGACATAAGCCAATCGCTTCTGCACTTATTCGGAGCTTTTCTACATCGGTCCGAGTCTCTCTTACAGCAGCACAATACAAAGGTGGATAATAAATGATTTATCGCGAGCAGTTTCACGATAGATAAATCGATCGCCTACGCGATATCCAACGGGACGTCGATAAAATCGTGTCACTACTCTACCATTACGTTACCATTGTCCGATCGGATATTAGTATTTCTTCATTATATATTTATTTATCATTATAATATGCGATCCGGAATATGAAATTCGTAGTAATCTGGCACGAGTGAAATGTCTCAAGCTCAATTGTTTTTAAAACAATATCTGCTTTTATAATTAGGGGAGAAATTTTTTTTCTTTTTAATTTTTATTTTTTTTTTATTTTTTTATTTTTTTTTTTTTTTTTTAAGCACACTTACATAACTCGTACTAGACGATAATTAACATTAGCATATGACAGTGGTCAATTGAAGCAAAATCTTATTGGTTAATATTAATTCGTATTTTACAGGCTGAATTATTTTAAAATTCGTATAGTTCACTTAAATGAATAATACTTACGTAATTATTATTGTAAGGCACAGAAAATTTGTACGAATGAATTACAATGGACCGGTAATTAAGCTTAAGTGAGATCTTACATTAATTTGGAAAATAACAAGGTGTAAATAATTTTTTGCATTTTATATACATTCAATAAATACTAAATGACACCATTAATGACGCATTTATCAATGCTATTTGAGCATTGAATATACGAGCTGACGTATAAAATATCAATATTTCTAATTATTCTAATTACTTTAGGCCTTACTGATATAATTGCACTATATTAGTGTAAAATTACTTTATCGCTGCATTTTATAATTTCTTATTATATATAATATATTGAGTAAGTAAACTGTGCATATTTTAATACTCAAAGAAATTACAGCTAGATTATCCTACGATATTATTCTGAAAAATTATTATAAACAAAAATTTTGTCTATTTTATAACTTATGAATATATTTTTAATCGGGTGTACATTTATAATTAAGTATTATTTATTTTTATCTCTATA